AGCAATAGGATCACAGTAGAAAGCTACGGGCCCCCAGGCCATAAGCCTGAATTGATGCTTGAAAAAACCCTCACTAGTTGCATCTGTTCTTCCTGTGACCGTTCTATCTATAGCAATTGGTGGTTTGCCTTCTACTAGACCGTAGATCCATACTTTACACGTTCCTGTTTGAGCTGTCCTGTGGAGGACTACACCGCCGACAACATTGCTGCTGTGCAGGCTATGCTGGAGCAGGGCACGCGGCGACTGTCGTACAGTTAGAGAAAGCCATCAGGTCCTCATAGAGATCAATCCGAACCATCTTACACGAAAACCTCAGCCTCAGAAAGGTTTGCGCATGCTGGGTGCCTCATCCGCTCGGATGAATTGGTGCCGCAACAGGCTTGCCACGTTTGATGGTGGACGTTCAAATGCTGTTTAGGAGATACTAAGTGGTTATGAGACCTGGGTTTACAGTTTCGACCCATAAACCAAGCAACAATCGGCTAAGTAGACGGCCGTTGGTGAGGTTCCGCCTCAAAAATTCTGGCGTGAGCGTAGTGTGGTCAAGCAGATGGTGATTGTGTTCGTAGCCAAGACCGAGCATGTGGCTCCTGTACCGCAAGGTACAGCAATGCCAATTCACCAGACTGATATGTCACCCACTGTCTGGCACAAGTGCTGGAAGCTGTAGCCGGGTGTCGTTCAAGAACTCGAGTAGGAGGCACCTTTCTGCAACACGGCAACGCACCCGCACACAGGTCCCTCTCGTCATAGATATTTTGGGTACAGAACGCATCCAGGAAGTTGGTCACACACGCTATAGTCCAGACCTGACTTCGTGTGACTATTCTATGTTCCCAAATCTCACGCGCAGGATGTATGGGATCAGCTGCTTGTCTCCAGAAGCTGCAGTAAAGGCCTTTATTGAACCGCTTGAATGTTTACCCAATTCGGCATGGTCTGACTGCTCCTCCAAATTGTTTGAGCATATAGAGCTGTGCATGAATGATGGTGGAGAGTAGTAAGAGAAGATGCAATGCTTATTTTGATGTAAAAAAATACTTCGTGCATCCGGAAACTTATTGCTCTACCCACGTACTATTCGCTCCCGGCACACTAATCCGTCCTTCTGGTTCCCCACCTTGTTACACAGTTCCGTACTGATTGTAGCCGCCGCTAGAAGAAAATATGAAACAGTATTGATCGTAAATGAATGCAATAGCTGAGACACAGCTGCTCCGATGAGATTGGGATGATTTTTCCTGTCATTTGGAGCAATCAACTAGTGGCTTCGCACGTGCGCTATGCAGCCATACCTTCTGTGTCAAAGGGATACACTGAGTAACACTATATTGCTCACTCCAGAGAGCTCTCAAATGACGATTCACTTGGCAAACTTTAAAAGTTAACCAACTTCTTCATTAACTATAGTTAGTTTCATTCAAGTAGACTAAATCTGACAACTGATGATGCTAAATATTATACGACTGTCACCAAGGTCATCCCTAGTGTACTGATAGTTTTTGAACTATCGTATTCGGATGTAGTTGGTAGTTTGCTGTGTAGACTATAAGCAGTTCTTTGGTAAGCTCTCCTCATTGTGCAGCGTTATAACTGATGTGATGTTTGGTTCACATCACCATGATTGGTAGAATACACGCAACTGCAAGAGTTTTGATATTTCATAGCGGCGTACTTCAATACCGATCAAGGATCCAATCGCGAAGATGACGAAGCATTTGACTACTTAACTACTTATTAACCCACTTGATTAAACCAACATACAAGTTTTGGGTGTAATCCACTACATGGGCGATGACTAAAAAGGACCGGAATGACAATATAAAGTAGCATTTTTGTTGCGACGACGTGTTTCCAAAATTATTAGAACATTCGAATACTTTGTACAATGTGTCAAGTAATGCCACAAGCTGAGCTAACATCGTAAAGTAGGTATCCTGGAAGTTCATGCGTAAATGAATACCGGACTGTAGAAACCAGGTATGATACTCCAATATTTGAATCGAACATTCGTGGGGCACAGCAGAATTCATTTAATAAATCAGTGTGCATGTTGGTATCATGGGACTCGTCTTCATTGGTATCATTATGGTCTCAGTTAATGAGACAAACCCTGGTTAAAAAGTTAATACCAAATAACAGTGTATGGTTTGATTTACAAGCAAAAGCGCACACGCTGCATAGGAGTACTCTGCGATAATGAGGTTGCAAAGATGTTAACCGCTTGAAAGAGCTGGTATCTTGAGTGAGATAAGAGGCAATATGTATGGTGTCGGAAGAAATAAGAGTAATTCAAGCCGCCGCTAGAGTTTGCTTAAAATGGTGAGCTAGGTATTGAATCAGCCGCCGTCGGTCAGCTGCATAAGAGAGTATGTACAAGCAGATAAAGAACAACAGAAAGTAGTTGGAGGCAACACGCATGTTACGGATAGATTTGGAGACAGATTATTGTGTAAAGTTTAATAGTGGCTTCTACTTTCTACAAAAATTACACTACGCACAAAACCACCAATAATGTAGATTTGGAATAGTGGGTAGGTTATGACGAAATCGGGGAAGATTGCAGTGGATGCCTATGTTTGGAGCCCGATTTATTATGTGGTTTGCTGATTCGCAAATGGTCAGCTGCGAAGTTAACGTTGGCTGGTCGAAGTAAAAGGTGCAGACAAGAAGAAAATAATCCCTAAACACTGTCTATATCTTAAGTATTTATAGAAATTCTATGAAAGGACAGTGTCTGTTGGGAAAAGAGGAAATTCAATCACTCTACCAGGTAACCTAAAAGGTATTCCTTTAAACCATAGTTGATATGAAGAGGGACAGGAGCTGAGCGGAAGCTGTAGGTATGCCGATGCACCTGGAATCGAGGAAGCAATTGATTCAGCGTTGGTACTTCGACGTAGTTGAGGTTACTCAATGGTTCTATTGTCTATCAACCCATTCATATATGTTTATTTTAGGGACTGAGATGATTGTCTACCTAGCCTTTAAAGCAGGGTATGTTGCGGAAGACATCGTACATACATACTAGCTCTAGTAAGGAACATCGATATGAACAACAGTCTGGTTGGTAATGGATTGGATTAAACCCATTTTGACACGTTTAACACTAACAATGTGTGGGAGTGGATACCGGCACCAGTGCACATAACACTTATTGTGTTGCTCAGACCAGCCGTACCCGGGATATGAGAGGCAAGAATGCTGTGGACAATAAACTGTTAACTACTCAAAGTGGGGTCAATATTAACTTGGCTGGGCCATGTTCCCTGTGTCAGGCATGGACAAGTGCGTTCGGCGACCTTGGCATAGTGCTTGATTTGTAAAGTGTAAAACACAGGAGCAGACTTCGCTATTGAGCTTACGAATATTATGCGCCAGCCGCAGACCACTCCGACAGGCAACGGTAATGTGTGTTTATTGGTGGCACTCAGCCAAAAAGTCGAGTTGCCTTTTGTGCGCTGACAGGAGATTTGCAATCATAGCCGTGTCAAATCACCTTGTTTCGACGCAAGCTGATGAAATGGGTTAGATAAACATTGCGGATGTCGATGCTGGGCAAGTTTTTCCTTCGGCCCCTCAGTCGATGCTTTAGCACGTCTCTATTTGCGGGTGTGTTCTGCTTCCACGAAGTGTTCCAATTTAATTGCTGCATCCATCGCTGTTGGTGCAACATCGGGAAGGTTCAGTACATTAGCTGAGTGCATTAAAGTGCGTTCGTCTGTAACGGATCTATCGAATACAGTATCAACCATGTTTAGACACTAGGATTCCAGAGTGATACTGGATTCTGCTGCTGCCGCTATGGCTGCAGTTGCAAGGCTAACCCAACTAATGGAGCACTGTGTCTCGCGGTGAACATGAAGGGTTACCAGTTTCACTCAAATCTCTTGTTGCAAAGGAAGCTTATCAGACGCAATACGCAGAATCTTAAAAAGTGTACTACTGGTTGTTTGGTCTCATCTACTAATAAATCCATCTGTACTTCATACTCCAGTACACAAAATAGCATGCATGAGCTTGACGCCAAATCTTCCTTCTAAACCGTGTAGAACTGCAATGTGCGCAATCCATATTGTCTGTCTCGAACGAAATGCTTCGTAAGTATGCAGTTTAGATATTATCGGAGACGTTAAGGACGACTGTGTTTCTTTAGCAGTGCAATCCTGTGGAAGCTTCTGCCAATACGTGATTGGTGCTGTACGTTCGACGGACACATTAGGGTTGTTGAGTGATATAGTTTGTCTAGATTTGTAAGATTATCACCACCAACATTAATTTTGGGTTTTAGCAGCCTCAGCTCCCTTTCGTGACTTGCAATATAAGTAGCACGGAGAACAGCGAATCTGGATGAACTAACGATTTCTTCATTAGTTCAGTTGGCCTAGTGAATCATTGGGAGTCAGTTCATTGTTGGAACACATCGTTTTTGACGCTTTTACATGCACATTAAGCTGACGTTTGACTTGATGTGACGGATAGTGAAATTCAGCTCTACACCGCAAATCCACCAACTGTATGGTTAAATAAAACAAAGGTTACCACAATTCTCGAAAGAAGAGTGCAATATAAAGACCAAAATCACGGAACTAGAAGGAATAGTAAGAAGACCTATTATACTGTCGCACGAAGAATACACAGTCTGTGTGATCCCACCGGGATTGCTCTATGCGCAAAACGCAAACCAACGCAAACAAGGGAAATGATTGCATGGTGATTACGGGACATGCACCGGTCTTTCACCCCCTGTTATGCCAATTTCTGTGTACTCTAGGTTGCCAAACTGGTCGGATTTTCAGGAAGCGGTTCAGTGACACAACGACATATTTTATGATATCATCCTTACGTTACTCTAACTGCATTGATGGTTGAACGGGTTTGGACATGGCTATTTGAGTTTTCCAAAATTGTAAATGCCTGTTTTTAAGTCGACCTGAGCTAGTATTTTCTGTCTGCATACGCCTTACCAGTTTAACCTTTCCCGCTTTTGACCGCAGTTTACGACGGACGTGATCTGGAGCAAGATTTGATTAGTGAGACCCACGGACACTTCAAGCGTGTTCTAGTCAGTTTGGTACAAGGTGGTCGTGACGAGAGTCATCACGTTGACCGCAACGCAGTGGAATATGACGCGGAAGAGCTGTACAACGCCGGAGAGGCAGATCTCGGAACAGATGAATCCAAGTAAGCCATCGAAAACATTTGTTGTCATTGGAATGGGTTGCGTGTTTCTTCACCGTGTGACGCATTGCGCTAGCGTGCAGCACTTCCGGTGTTAAGACATCCGAACGCTGCACTGCACAACCGCGTTCCTACTTTTTTGCACTCATCATAGACGGAGCTGCGAGTGAAATCCGGGGTGTACTGGATGACGGCTGATGCGGTAATCACAGGACAATAACGGATGGGAATTCTGTGCTAATTTTTGGAGTGCTAGTCTCCTCTTGTCACTGCGGTATACAATCTCAATCGAGGGCACGCTTTGCTCTGAATAAAGCTCATACAACTTTGATCATGCGGTCAGCTGTCAGTCATTGCGTCGCGAGTACTACTCCAAGCTCTGGTTATCTCTACCAGAATAATGCAAACATGGACGAAACTATCGGCCGTGAAGTGCAAGGCTAGGATCGAGCAACTTTGAAACCTTGCACTTCGGATACGGTCCAAGGGATCGAAGTGACCGAGGTCTATCTGGAATAAACCGAAGTCCCTATTGAAATTATGTGACGCGGTCAGTACTCCAAAGCTCAGTTTGATCTCTTCAATATGACTGCGCGTTAACTATTTTTTGGTGTAGCTCCGCGTTCGCTGCTTATTCTTCTTAATCTCTGGGAGTTACATACTGAAAACCTAGAGGCAACCAACGTCAACGGAACGTGAAATTCATAATCTGGTCTCTTCATTCATTTCATACTGCAACTGTTGTTTTTCGATTTTCACGGCGCATACATACCGCATTCTTTGTGCCGGTCGAATGGGATAGATTTTCGATCAATCTGCTATCATTTCTTTCTCCCACCAGCTGGGGTACCTTCGCATCCCGCATAAGATCCAGCTTCGTGGCATTCACTCGACGCAAGCGCCTCCATAATGGTTAATCGATTTCCATTCGACACACATCAACATACGTACTGATCGGATACACGAATACCGTCATTATTAGCTTCAGACATGGTGCACACACGCACTGTGGTAAGATTGCGAACAAAATGTAACATGGGAAACAGACTGAGATGGGTGAATGATCTTTCCATATTCGGTTCTGTTTTCGCAGACAATATCCACTTGTCTCTAGTCTACACGTCGCACACAACGTTGTCAGCAGTCTGATCGTTACATTGTCCCTTGGTAGATCAGGTTACACAAGGAGTCGGTTGTTACGATAGTTTTGGTGGTCCAAGTACCGCAGTTTCGTGGCGCCAATACTGATACCATTAATTTCGTGTAACAAACTCAACTAAATATCCGTCTGACTAGCAAGTTTCGCAGAAGGTGCCGCATACATAATGGCACAGTTCACTAACCGCCAATGCAATATTTTCCCCGTCTGAACAATCCTCCGTTACACTTTTCGTGCCCTACTGTTAGTACCCCACCGCAGCAAGTATCCTACTCTGTTGTATGCAATCAGTGTTTGTTTGATCGATCGAACGAACAAGTGTATCTAAAACAGATGGAGGGCGCTAACACTTATTTGGTATACTTATGGACTACACATGTGAAACGAACAGAACATACCATCCGATTTTTCAGCTGACTTTAGAACAATGTGTGTTCTTTGTCCTCGTTTCAATCCCAGGCTGTTGCCGAATAGCCATGTGGTTCTCACGAAAACGCACCGGTTGATCTGGTGTATGTACGCTTCGATGAAATCGTCGAATTGTCCCGGTAGTTGACCACGCCGGTTCACCCCTCTTGTCTATTCACCACCACTACAACCAGACACAGGTTAGTTTGTTCTAATCGCACGGCTTACGACGAACGATATACTGATCAAAGTCGAAAATTGTCAGTGTCGTGTCAGTATCCGTGTCTGAATAGCCAAATGCGAACAGATAATATACTTCATTCACATAATTGGTTATTGTGATCATGCGGAAATCATACCATATGACTAAAGAGAGACCGTGTAACACGGATCCCTAGGTTGATCGTATCTCGAAATCGCATGCGTCAATTGAAACCCAACCGCGAGATTTTTTTGGACACGAACTTTTCGTTTGCACTTTACGTCATTGCTGATTGCTGTAAGCATCATAGTTCTCCAGAGAGGTGAAGAGAATAATAGTAGCTCTTTATTTTCCCTGTTTGTCAAAGAACTCGCCTACCAGTTAGGAACTAGTAGATGCATAAAGGTATAGTAAAGCAGTTCCTTTGCTTCCCTTGAAAGGACTTCGGTGACAACACCAGTTCAGTTAATGAAGTACTTCACCAATGAAAGCACTCACGGATTTCATGCCAATTTTTTAACGACAACCTGATCTTGCAACAATTATAAATTTCGTTTATCGATCTCGCTCACAATGAATGGAACTTACTGCTTGTCCGATAAACGGAGCGCCATTAAAACCCATCTGTTGCGATGGAAAGTTCATCCGTCACAATTTTTCCATAGTTCGGCACCCTAAACCTGCTACTAACTTGTGCGTGTTTCTCCACCTATTCCCTGTAAATTCATTGTGAACATAACCAAACGTTACCGGTCGAATTGTGTGCGCAGATCATGCCAGTGAGCGAAACGCACACTGGGCTATGAAGAACAATGTCACCTAGAAACTGGAACATTTCTTGCTTGTTCTAATATCCGACCGGTTACAATGTATCAGCTATTAGGGCCCGGCACGACCGTCAAATTCGGCCGCGTTCTACATGTCCCTCCTTTAAGGAATCATGGAATCACCAGTGTTCTACGATATTTTCTAAAGACCCATTAGTTAACTCAGCTGCCGGCCGTACAATGAAAACGTATACGCACGATTTTCTGAAGCCGTTATGTGTTTCCGCGCAAGTCAACAAAGCTTATCAATCTAACAAGAATACAATGAGAGGAATCTGCGGAATGTTCCAAACTACAGACTGAAGATGCCAGGTTGAACTTCTGTAGGTCAATGAAGTATCTTGGAGATAAGCTGAGCCACGATTTGTCGTGGTCACAACACATGAAACAAATATGCAGAAAATTCAGGCTACGGTTGTTTTACATCTCTCGATTGCGGTCATTCTGCGTATCATAAAATTTGATTCTGAAGTTCATCACTCCATGCATTCTACCACACTGGATTTATTGCTCTCCTATGATTTCTCCAGACCTATTATGTAAGCATCTCAAGCTGCTCGACAGGTCACTGAAGCTGCAAGGGTATTTCAAGCCCGTTTTGTACGAAAAAATTATCCACACACGTTAGTTCATGCGCTTAACTTGCTTCAAACGAACTCGCCGATATTAGTCACCCTTGTCACACTGCACTTCCAAACTGTACATCTACTTCGTCGACGAGAAAAAAGTAAAGAGCTATATATGTCCGCACGAGGGCTAATGATTCACCGAGCAATCCCCATCTAGCCGGCATTTTATTTAGACAAAACGTCGTTATTAAAGAACTGAACCGTAACGTTTGCCTGCGAGGTTGTTTTTCAGTAATCTTTCGCTGTTATCTTGCTCCTTAAATCGCTTTATCACCACATTGATAGCACGTGGCTCTAGGCTGAAACGTCGTTCCTCACAGCTGCATTAAAACGCATCCTTGCCTTGACTTGCCAACTCACAACGTTTTTTCTGATAAACGAATACTACTGAATATTCTTTTCAGTAATAATGTACGCTTGCAGATAATAATAATCATAGTAATGATAATAGTCACATTATTATTACTATTATCATTTTTCTCATTAAAAAGGCATATTTCTTGTGGTACCGAGAAACCGAGCCCACAAAGGGACGGATCATATTTACATTGCAACATGCTCAAGTGTGCGAGACAGTCAATGGTTTGACATTTTACAGGATTACAATAGAGATGTTTTCGCGAATATTTTCATTTGGGACTTTTGTCGCTGTATGCTGCCAGTTCGCGGGCATTCTCATTTAGTTGTTTTCGGTGCAGGTTGGTGGTACCATGATGGCGGCGGTTTGATGCGGCGGGAGGGAGTATGAAAAGGACGAAACAGTTAGCTTCACCAATCAAAATCAGATGAGTAATAAACAATCGTACTTAGAACACTGGAGTAATACAGTTGGAGCTATTTGTGCGTAGCAAGTTAGAGAGTTGAGAAAATAAAGAAAAGACTGTATTAAGGTGCCTCCAGTGGATTATCAAATTCAAGTTGCTTGAGCAGAATAATATAGGCAGTACTCACATCGTAGGGATTTAAGGCATAGCGTAATGTCTAGACTTGGTCTAATTATGGAGGTGAACCAAGCAAGTTGTGTTTTGGCTTCCAGTTGGTTGAGATGCTAGGTGAGCTCAGTTACATTCCATTCAGCCTTCTCTTGTAAGTGGGTATTTAGGGTATGCGTGACTATGCACGGTAATGTTGAAAAGGGAGAATTAAACGGATAACTATACCATTTCCCGGCTAAGTTGTCCTCTTGGGCAACAAAGATAATCTGAGGGGACATTCAACATGAGTCTACTCAATTAACTTGTTCCGTGCGTACGCCAGTCACTTGTGCAGTGTGTAGGTGTGCGTGTATAGCCCGTCGCCTTCAGCCAATTGGACCTCAGACGCACTAAGTCATAGGGGTGCAGGTGGGACGCTTCAGCTCCTACGCACGCAACAAATCAATTGAGTAGACTCATGTTGAATGCCCCTCAGATTATTTCTGTTGCCCAAGAGGACAACGTGGCCGAGAAATGGTGTAGACAGTCAGAAATTATTCAGTGGCTCGTAGTATTGCAGAAGATGACAAATGCAGGGTGATTACGAAAGTGTGCAAAAGTTATCCGATTCTTAGTGGAGGGATATAGAGGAAATACACCACAAATAAGAGCGAGGCCATAGTCTAAGTAACAAGTTAATCGGAAATATCGGTAAGACAGTAGGACGGTGGAGGTGAAGTAATTAGGAACCAGTGATTCAGTGTAGAAGGAGGTAGGGTAAGAAAAACAAGTAAAGTAATACGGTCATTCGTGAAACCGTCTTTCGGGGGACCTGCTTCCATGCGGGGTAGACTCTGGAGATGT